ACAGGAGCTCTGAGAAAAAAGATTTGTTTTTAAAATCTGTCTATAAGCATCTACACCTATAACCCAATTGCAACTACTTTAATATGGCTTTCTTTATCACTTTTATTAAACGTTCTATTAAGATGATTGAAACACATAGGGAGCTTCTTTGAGATCTTTAAAATGTGCAAAATATTTTCTCTTTCATAAGATTTAATGATCAACTGAACAATGTGACAAAAAGGAAGACAAACAGTTTATGAAAAGCAGAACCACAGTCGACTACATCATTGATATATTACTAATTATAACACAAAATACACTGGACACGAAAAACCAAGATGATTTAACTTAAGCGACACATGTGAAGAACATGCACGTCAGAGTACCTTGCTGTGTTTGGCGAAGCTGCATCTTGACGTCTTGAACATGGTTTGTCATCCACTGCGACTTCTCCTCGCACTCCATCAGCTGAGCCTTGAGCTGAGCGCAGTGCTCCACCTGCAGAAAGGCCACAATTTACACAGACAAGTAAAGACAAGTCAATTAAAAAAAACACCTTGAAACTAAATCTAAACACAAAATATCCCGCACTTGACTGACCTCACTCAGGAGCTGAGCCTGCAGCACCTGTTTCTTGCTGTTAAACTCTTCCTCATCTAGTCTGCGAATGCTCTGCAACCTTTGAAGCTCCAACTGCAGGGACAGCAGTTCTTTGGACGGCTTACTCAAATCTGAGAGAGGGGTTATTAAAGTCAAAACATAATTTAAAAAGCAAAGGTTATTTCCAAATGCTGCATCTACTTTTGTGGAAAAACTGTGTGATGAAAAAGCAGGCAGCGAGTACCGCACATATAGGACAGTAGCTTTTTTAGGGCTCCACTGCTGAAGCAGGGAAATACAGTGTAAGCCTGAGATAGAGGTAAAATTAGGGTTTCTGTCATGGGTACAAGTAGCCCTCCAGCTCTGCTCACTGTCTTCTACGCCCCCCCCCCAGTCCAGTTTAGAGAGTTGTCTGCAGAGCTACAAGAACAAAACAGAAGCCCCACATTGGCAGGAAAGATGCATTCTAAAAGCTGACCCTGAAGCAGTGTCACTTCACAGTACACTGCATCTCCCACAGCTCACAATGAGCCCAGTCTCAAGCACTCTGTGGGAACTGGATTTATTCAATATTAAAGAAAAGCATCTACAATTATTCTCAAGTTCTGAATCTCAGACGAGCGATAACTCTCAGACATTAAAATTTCAGACAGACAGAAAACACAGAGCCTGTTATTCTCTGATGGGGACACTGAGGCACAGCAAGAACCTTTTAGAAGTACTTGGGAACCGCAGCTGCTCCTCACCTGCATGGAGAAGCCGGTTCTCCTCCTGGGCCTCATCCAGCTGGTTCTTTAGCAGACGCAGCTGCCCCTGCAGCTCTGCTTTCTCTCTTTTCAAGATGGTGTAGTCACTCATGGCCTCCAGTCGCTCTCTCAGCAGCTCCTTCTGTTGAGTCAGCAGAGGAATCTGCTGCTGCGCTGTGTCGCGCTCAACCTGGGAAACAACAAGAGCCATTGTAAGAGAAGCTAAAATGAAGCTAAAGGGTGAATTAATAAATTGTATGATACATTATATAATATATTGTAATAAAATGTTTCATGTCAATATATCATAAATAACACATTTATAATTAAAGTAAAACCAAAGTTAAAAATCAGGTAAAGAGGCAAAGACACCTGTACATCAGATGTGAACACATTAGACCATCTACTGTAAACTTATTACATGACAACGTGACATTTATTGAATGAAACTGCGTCGGGCATGCGTCATCAAACCGTTGGTAACTGTCGTATGTCGATATCTCAAAATGCTGTGAAAACTCCAGTAGGAATCTCTAATTATTATGACGTACGCATATCCACATAATGTGACTAAGGTGGGATAACACCCACACTTGTTTATTCCGAGCATGACTTTATTTAGGTTAAGGTAATCAGAAAATGCTGTTTATGTGACCAGACGCGTCCTCTGCTGGGTGTCTGGGGTAGTGATGCTCACCTGCAGCCGCCTCAGCTCTGAACATGCTCTACTGTGCTCCTCTAATTGGGATTCAAGTACCGCTGACTCCCTTTGGATGCGAGACACTTCCACTGAGAGGAAAAAACAAAAAAGAATGTAAACATAATCAGAGGAAGTAATGAGCTACTCAGTAACACTTCATTCATTTAAATACTCACCTTTGTTTCTGTTCTCATTCTCTGTTAGTTTTTCTGTTCTCTTGAGGAATTCGTCTTTTAATTCAAACTGATACCTAATTTCATAAAGACATAAGATTGACAATTCAAAAAGAGGTCAGAGAAACTGTCGGAGAAACTGTTGTCTCTTTTTTTCCTTCTTTGTCACCAATCAACTGTTGTCAAAGCCATGAATCACATGGTCAGGTGGATGATCTATGGTATGTTGACAACTGAAAATAATCACGACACTGATGAGTCATTTTGTCAGCATTAGTCATACTGTAGCTCTGAGGGGAGTACCAACAGAACATACATTTAAAAAGAAAGATTAAGACTAAAATTAATGTTTCATCAAACAAAAAGATTTTATACTTTCAATCTTTGGAGTGTAATAGGTGTATACTAGAGTATGTTTAGTGTCAGTGCCTCTATCAAGCAGTAAAAAAAAAAATATAACTGACTTGTACTTTTGTTCAGCATGAAAATACCTGGAAAGTTCATTCTGCAGCCTTTGGTCGTGTGTGTCCTCCATCGTCTTCAAGGCCAGTTCTCTCCTCCTCAGCAGCTCTTCTGTGGTCTTGACCTTCTCCTCGTGAATTTGACAAGTCCTGTTGTTGTACAGCAACAGTAAGATTCTCCATGAACCAGTTTTCACAGTGAGGGCACAGCAGCCCTTTACTGACAAGAATGGTTTTAATTACAAAGCTCTCACTTTTCAAACGCCTCCATTCTCATCCTCAGCTCATTTTCTCTGTTCCGTTGTGTTTCAATTTCTTTCAGTAACGATTGTCTCTGCATGTACACATTTTTTTCTTCAATCTAAAGAAAAGAGAAACACAAAAACAGCATCACAAGACTTAGATTTAAGCAACTGACAAGTAAACCAATGACTACTGATACTGAGAGCCTCTAACAATGTAACAATAGAAATAATAGTGATTTAGCTTTCGGGAAACAAGGCAGCAATCCACCTCTTGTTGTTTTTGCAACCGATCGATGGCATTTTTCTCCCGCTCCATCAATGCCTTTGTCTTCATTTCATAGGTCCTCTCCAGCTCTTGCTTCAGGTTGTCAAATTCTTTATGAAATTTAGACTTTTCTTCCATCTTCACCTTGGCGATCTCAACATCTTTAAAATGTTGAAACTTTGGATCCAAAAACAGAAATGCTCCCATATTAGTGATCATATGTTAACCATTCTAAAACAGCATTCGTATATATTAATTAGAATGTATTTATTGCAGATATGAGTATCGAGTAGGTTAATTCAATTTCTTATTCATTTACTTTGTCGAAACATTTATGTACCTGTGTGTTCATTTCTGCTTGCAGCTGTGCTTCGATTTCTTTTCTGTACGCAGCCAGTTTTGATTGGAGTGGAAACCATTTGTCTCCACTACAGCTTAAGTTCTCATATTCCTTATCAATCATTTTCATCTTGTCAACTGTTATCAAAGATAGACAGAAAACATTAGAAACCATGCAGTGATTTAAGATGTGATTTAAGAGATCAGTTCCACGTACCAAGAGACTCTCCGTAACTCCCTCTGCTTGTTGTCTGCGTGTCAGCGTCGTGGCGCAGGCCGTGAGTGTAATGGTGTGTTAGCTGAGTTAGAAGGCTGATCAGAAGCCCTGCAAGACAAAGATAAAGCAAATATATGTTTATCTATCTATATGTGATGGTAGAAGCTGCTTATATTGAAGAAAACACATATGCACGTACCTTTGTCAGTGTTGTCTTTATTTGAAGACTGTAAAAAAACAAACATTATTACTAACCACATTTTTATTTCTAAATATTACATATGCTAAATGGCAGTATTACTTACCAGGGATCTGTAAAGGGCTGATCCTGGACTAATTTTAAGAAGCTGGAGAACATCCTCTTTGTTGAAAACCTGCCAAAATGGATCGGAGACCAACATGTTTTGTTTTTATCAACAATGCTCTTTAAACGTGATGCTACAGTGAATTTAACAGATGTCCCGCTCACCTTGTCCTTGCAGAGACCACTCTCAGGGTGGAAAACAGATAAGGTGTACTCATACCCTGACGTGCTCAGATGATCAGCCACGATGCTGTTACACGCTGTGACCATGAGAGACTCAGATTTCACAGGCACTGGTCTGGGGACCGGTTCTACTCCGGTCAATGGAGGATGTTTTAACTCCTGGATGAGCTGATTCCGCAGCTGAGTCTGGACCCGAGAGAGAAATATAGATGCAACTGACACCGAGCAGATTTAAGGACAACAAGAACAATCACGATCACGACTTACCTTGAGTGTATCGAGCACTCCTTTGTTTTTAAACGTTTGATAGAGTCTCTTCCTCAGCTCGTCTGGGGACAGGGAGTCTTCCTTGGTCGCGTACATGACTGAAGAGACAACAACAGCACAGTGATGCTAACATTGTCGGCTACAGAGCGCAGACATCACTTTACAGCAGCTTTTAAGTTCTCTCACCTGGAGTCGGACTATTGTTTAACTCTTCTTCACTTCTGCAACAACAGGGATCCTAAAAAGACGATTATAAAACATCCGTGAAGTCGCCTGACGACCAGAAAGCGTCCATCTCCAGGAGGTGTGCCGCCGTCATTTAAATCCGTCAACGGATACTTCTGTTCCGGGCTGTCCCACAGTTATGACGAAAAAAATAAAATGTTTGAATTTTTTAACATTGAGTAATTTAGTGTGAGTCGTGAAATAATTATTTAATGCCACGTTTGTTCAAAAAAGTGTGTCATTAAATAATTATTACATTTTTACAACAAATGACATACGATAAGTATATTTGGCAACTTGGCTGTGACGTCATCTATCCGCGACTGCTCTTGCTACCCTCCAGGAAACCAAGTTGACAGGTAAACAAACGTAGATTTACCAAATTAAAACGTTGTCGTGTTTGTCATTATCGTATGATCATAGTATTTAAAGTGTTATTATACTTATCACAGCTTGACATGATTATATTAAAGACTTGAACTATGATAAGCGTCTGTGGAGCGCTACAGAAGCGGTTAGCTTGCTAGCTGGAGGTTTACAGTCTTTCTGGTGACAGTGACGGGGAGATCTTGAACGATTTCATGGTTTAACGTTGTTTCTTTGGTTTTTATTGATTTCATGGCCGCTTGGCTTCGCTAAGACAAAGAGGAAACGATGTCTGGAAGTTTTTATTTTGTCATGGTTGGTCATCATGACAACCCCGTGTTTGAGATGGAGTTCCTGCCAGCTGGGAAACCAGAGTCCAAGGTAAAGTGGCTTCGCTCATAATAACATCATCAGTTATTTCATTGTATCGTTCCTTCCTTCGTTCCTTCTAGTGGTTATTCATTATTCATTAGACTAGGACATACTAGTAGAGACATAATCTTCACAGTATATGATTATACTAAACCGTCTTTGCTGTCAAGGGCCTCAAGACATAATAATAATCATCATCATAATAGTGTATGTTTATGTATACTCTTGTTTGATTAGATTTTTTTCTTTGAACACAGGATGATCATCGTCACCTGAACCAGTTCATTGCACATGCAGCCCTCGATCTGGTGGATGAGAACATGTGGCTGTCCAACAATATGTACTTGAAAACTGTGGACAAGTTCAACGAGTGGTTTGTTTCTGCCTTCGTCACTGCAGGACATATCCTTTATTCTGTGCAGAATGTGATTGTTTTAATGTTTGGGGCTACGAGAAAAACTGTCAGAATGGTTTGTATAATCATGTTTGACGAGCTGATTTCAGAGGTTATATGTAATTTAGATATGATGCAATGATAATCAGTTGATTAATCTACAGAATGTTAATTATCTTATTGGTTGTTAAGTCATTTATTGAGAAGAAAACCCTAAAGATTTTTTTATATTCCAAGCTTTTTACTGTATGTTAGTCTTTGTCTTTAAACATTGTGAATTACATTTTTTTCTTTATATATTTAAATTGGAGAAATATCAGTTCTAAGATGTCCTCTTAGTCTTCGGGACATTGTGGTCATAGTTCTAGTATTTTTCTGCCATTTTAGAGATTACACATTTATGTGAGAACTCCCTCATTGAAAATGAAAAACTGCTAGTTTGCAGTGTATCATAATTATTTGGAAAGTCATTCACATTGTCATTATGCTTAATTACATCAAATAATGTATTGGAATAGGTTTATTCACCTTAATTATTTTCCCCACATATAAGATTCATCATGCTGCATGATGCACGTCAAGAAGATGGAATTAAAAACTTTTTTAATGATGTGTATGACATGTACATCAAGGTAAGTTGTCTTCCATGAAATTATAAAACTCAAGAAACCTTTCTTTCAGTGTTAAAATGAATCTCTTTTTTTCCTCTCTTCCAGTTTGCAATGAATCCATTCTATGAAATCAATGCACCAATCCGCTCAACAGCCTTTGAGAGGAAAGTCCAGTTTCTTGGAAAGAAACATCTGCTGAGTTAATCACGTCTCATGCACAAGGGCATGGATAGATATTGTCTCTCCGCTGTACATATACCTAACATACTTGTTTGATGTCTGAGTCTTCTTTCATGTTTGTCTAATGTAACACAAATTTAGATTTTTTATAAAGATTTTTTTTGTCCGAAATTGTTTCTAAGCTTATGTTTATTTCTTGCATGTGGTGGGCAGTGTCCAGAGAAAAAAATGCTTTAACCAACAATTCTCAAGGGGGTTTATTTATCGTTTGGTAAACCAGAGGTACATCTTAAAATGGAAATAAAATCCGGACGAGAAACAGTCAAAGAAAATGAATGGTTCATTATTTTGAAAAGTATCTAAGGAGGGGCTTAAAGCTGTGAGGGTAAAATGTTGAGTAATTTTAAGATCCAAATAAGTTTTTAAAAATAATCATATGAAAGAATATTTACTCAATAATAACCACAATTTAATCTGACCTATCTAAAGAAAATATTGTAGCTTGATTCAGTGATTTTTCATGTAAAAACATAAAAAATTAAATGTTTCCAGAAGCATAAATACACCTAATGCCATGCATGTTAACTTTGCTTCAATATTTATCTTCTGTTAGGGATGTTGTCCCTCAGTGCTTTCAGCACATAGCCATCTTCTATTCACTTTGAAGGATGTGCACAACAAGCCTGGATTTGTTAGTTACATAGAGTAGTACCTTAGCTAGTTTCTAATTCTCATGAATAAGGTTATTGGGCTGTATAAATGATTTTAATTTCATGATTATTTTCTAAACATAAATAAACAGGTCATTACTTTATCTGCACTGTCACAGTCTGGAGTGAAGTTCAAGGATCCGATAACAAGTGCACTACTGAGATAGCACACTTCTTATTATCAGTGAGTCACATTGTAATTCAACTTTATGATGGAATGGAATATTTAAACAGGGAAGTGAAACCTTTCAAAGAAAATGCCTCTGCTGAGCCATGAGATGTGTTTAGTTCCCCACAGATAGTCTTGGGCCAAAATGAAATGGTTTATTTCTTTGAGAACCCTTCTGTTCGAACTGTGGCAGAGCTGAGTGAATGAGCCAGTGCTTCTTGTTTATTCATGGTCAGATGAATTTAGTGTTTTATCGCTCTCTCTTTAAACCAAAGTCCAACTATTAGCATCATCATCAAACCTTTAACAGTACAATAAATCACAAAGCCAGTAGCATAACTTGTTTAAATAGGATTACTACAGCATTGTACACCTACAGCCTTGATGCATGTTAGGCATAACAGCAAATTAATGTTAGTGAAATCTCCTGGACGTTATGAACAGCAAGTGGTAGCAGAGCGAGGTTTTCTGTGGAGCTTGACTGTGTCTGTGGGGATGAGGTGGTCTGTTCTTTCATCCATTGCCAGCACTCTGCGTACTGCTTCCTCAAAGGCCACGGCTACATTGGTGGCATCCTTGGCACTGGTCTCATAATAGGGGTAGTCGCCATTCTCCTTGCACCATCGCTGAGCCTCCTCAGTAGACACCTGCCGCTCCGTCACATCCAGTTTGTTGCCCAAGATTACGAATGGGAACTTCTCCGGCTCCTTGACATCCGCGTAGTAAATGAACTCCTTCTTCCAGTTGCCTAAGTTGAGAAAACTCTGGTTGTCATCTACACTGAAAGTGAGCAGGCAGCAGTCAGAGCCACGATAGAAAGGAGTCCTCAGGCTACGGAATCGCTCCTGGCCAGCAGTGTCCCAGATCTGCAGGGTCACCTGGTGGCCATCTACCTCCAGATCCTTGTTGAGGAACTCCACGCCGATCGTGTGGAAAAGGTGCGCGTCAAATTTGTTGGTGACGTAGCGATTCATGAGGGAGCTTTTCCCCACACCACCGTCGCCAAGCAGAATGACTTTCAACAGGGAGGTCTTTGTTGTCATGGTTATTCACTCCTGGTCGACCACTAAGAAATAATTCACCTGATGGATAGATGCAATGATTGGGATATTTAATACTTACACCACAATGATATTACATATTTAAAAAAAACAAAAACATTGTGACCAATCACCAGTTTACTTCACATCTTAGTGCAGGAACACAGTTTTTAATTGGTTGACATGTGCCTCTTCCTCTCACCCCTGATTGATTTTGGCCTCCTCCTCTGGTCCAGATCATGTGCTGTAGACCCTGGTCCTCGGTCACATGCTCGTGTGTGTGATGTTGAAGTGAACAGCCATGAAGGTGTCGTTCAACCGGCTGGAACACAGTGATCGACAAACAGGTTTGTCATTAACATAACGAACAGGGCAGCGGTTAGCTGAGTAGCATCAACCCATTGCTGGAATATTTCCAGTATAATGCTGGTGGGCTCTCATGGTGTGAAAATGTACACACACCACGTACGTGATGTTGAAAACATCACAACAACATAGCAGCACACATGCTCGTAGAGAGACCATGAAATGTGTGTGTGTGTGTGTGAGCCAGGCTAAGTGTTAGCTAAGCGATGCGAAGATGGAAAAACAAAAACACAGCTGGACTTGTGAACACTATGCTTCCTCCGGCTGGCTCTGCCTTCCATGTAGGAAACGTCACGCTGGTAACTCACCTGGCACTCTGGTCCCTGTGGAGTCCAACGAGGAATTAAAACCCGAAAAACAGCTGGAGGAATATTAAACCATATGTTTGACAGCTCGAGATCACGTCGGGTCGCAGCGTTTCCTGGTGAGCACAGACAGGCTCCGCGCTAGAGCGGCTAACAGGCTAACCAGCTAGCAGCGGATCATGTGATCGTGTGAGACGACAACAGCCAACGAATGCAGAGGTAACGTTTCAGTCACTTCCACACGTGATTCACTGCTCACCGGTCAAACACTCACGTTTGCTCTTAAACAGAGCATCACTTAGCTTCACTGCGTGTTTATACTGATGTCAGCGAGTCAGCAGCTCCCTCCATCGCTAATACAGTTCCCCTCTTTGTAATATTCATGCACCAACACCAGAGAGCGACACTGTCTGTCACCAGCCAACACCCCAGCAGCTGCTGGCTGTTCTAGCCAACCACACGCTGCAACAAAGGGAAGCATCTGAAAACACGTTTCAATCCAAACTGATGGATGCAGGATTAGCTAACAGGCTGTAGCGACCAACTGGATTTGCACTGAGATATTCACTGAAGTGCTAAAATCTGAATAAAATAGCTTTACACCACAAAATAATCCACACTCCTTTAATTGAAGGTTCAGTGTGTAAGATTTAGGTGAAAGGGATATATTGGCAGATTGAATATGAAATAATCCTAGTGATGTTTAGATAAATGTGTAATCATCGAATGGGCCCTTCATATTTAAATACTTGATATGTACATCAGGAGTGGGGCCCCTCTGCAGAGGCTGCCGTGTTACATAATTTGAGTTTTTATGACAACTGAACCTTTAAGATAAATTACCTCTCCCACCAAAAAAAAAAATGCATTCAAAACCCCACTTAAGTAAAAGTACACATGCACTATCATCCAGAGATATGCAAATGTCAGCAATAAAAGTATTAGTTCTGCTGTAAAATGAATCCTTCTGTCTAAAATCCTGTGTTATTAGTTTCTTAATACTGGTGCATTCCAACTTAAGCAGCATTTTATTGTTGTCCCTGTTCAAGATGGAAATGGTTTTAACTGTTTTATGTTTAATGGTGGTTTGGTCCAGTGGTTCCTAACCTGAAGGTCTCGTCCAAAGGGTCACCAGATCTATATGAGGGAATGTAAGGAGATTAATGGAAATGAATTAAGGGCCAATGGTCTGTATTTAAATAGCACTTATCTAGTCTTGATGACCACTCAAAGTGCATGTGTACTTTTTGGATTATCATTATGTTTAGTGATTTCATAACATCATGATTTAGTTAGAATGAACCTCCCCCCTTTTAATATACATAGGTCTATTATTATGAAACACACTTATTCACTTTGAGTTTGCATCAACTACTCTATATACTATATCAAGTTTCTATAATAAAACACCACTGTTGATATATATGAATTCAGTAAGATGATCTAAATCGGTGGTTCCCAAACTGGGGGTTAGGGGACATCCTGAGACACAGGATGTAAGTTGATTTCCAGAAATCTAATACAATTTAGGGACATTTCTCTCGATCATATATTAGCCATACATGTTCCAAAGCTGAAACATACTAGTTACATTTAAAATAAAACCACACAAATAATCAGCCTTCTGATTTTCTTTTTCTCCATGTGACCCCCTGAGGTGATTATGCCAGATTAGTGACATTATCAGTTACACCAGGTCAGTTTACATCACCACAGTGCACATCAGTGTTTTTTTTTTGTGTGAACTCGCTCAAATAAATATCTCTTGGGATAATAGGGGCTAGGTTATTTTGGGGATCAGGGGCTGACAATTTTGGGAACCTCTAATTGGGCATAATATGAAAAACAAAAAGAGTGGTAGACAGGATTAGAAAAACAATCAGTTTTAATGTAATAGTATAGTATGATATGAAAGCAAAATTTACAGCAATTATGCACTGATATGTTTTATCATTTTAACTATCGAGCCTTCAAAAAAGTTATTCATCAAAGATTTAAGCAAACATTTCACTTAAGAAATTCACATTACATGTTACCGATTATTTTCAGTTAACTTCAGCAATACAGTATAGCATAAACACACCACAGGACTAAGCACAATACTGTTAAACATAACTAACATACTGAGTTTGCATTTCCACCTTTTCCTGAGATCTGAGTTATCTGTACTGTAAGAGACTACTTTGAAAACCACAGTACAGATAATGACAGGGTGTGCTGATGTAGCAGCATGGTGACATAGTAAACATGCATGCACTGATTGCACATAATCTCCTCTTGAGAACATGTGTCTGTATCTTTGTGTGGATGTCCTGAGGCTATGACGAGCAAGAACACTGAGAAAAAAAAACTCCACAACCGGGAGACCATAATGTGGACACGATACAGGAATCTTTGACGTGTGTCATTTTGAGGAGATTCTCAAATTGTTGGTTTTAAAAGGTGGAGATTCCTAAAAGAGCGGGCTGACGTCGTCCTGACAGGGCCCTGAGGTCAGCACAACATTGTCCAGCCCGATCTCTCCTCCGACACCTGTGCCACGCTGAGCTTCGAAGATAATCTGAAAGACATCCAAAGGTACAATTACAACTCTAGTTTGCTCAACATGGAATTAATAGAAAAGTAACAGAAGTACTGCATATTTCTGGTATATCTACCTCTTTTGTATGATAGTTATTATTATTATTAGGCTGGATTTTATATAAAACTAGGCCTCAAAGTTTGAAATGTGTCAGATTTTCCCAGTAAAATCCCCCAGCACTCTTTAGCTTTATTAGGCAAAAGCAATCAAACCTTCACCTGTTTCATACAAACTTGGGCATGCACATAACTACAACTTATTGACATGCTGTTTATCCTAGTTATGCACCAAGTAGCAGGCACTTTCAAACTTTCTTCAGACATTTTTGAGCCACAAATATTGTTATTATCAGTAACTACTGCCTTTGTTTGACAATGTTGTGTCTATGATATGTCTAATGAAATGAGTACTCACAGATCCTGGGGCCTCTTCTTTCCAGGCAACGGTGAGGAGCTCTGTCTGCCAGCCCTGGTCTTTGCTGTGGCTCTGCTCCCACACTGGGTAAGCATTGTTATCCAGCAGCACCTTGAGAGAGCCCACGTTGCGTCCCACCACACGGTAGTCAAAGTTGAGGCAGAAGCTGCCCTGCTGCACCCGGTCATTGAGAAGCAACTTCAGCTTGGCCATATCCTCCTTCTCCCCGAGGAGCCCGCTCAAAGCCATGTAGTACTCTGCACCTGAGAGAAGTGAAAGTAGCTCTGATAAAAAAACTGCATCTGACTGAGCAAAATAATTCATCTTATATTTGAAAACAAAGTATCTTGGTCTTATTACCAGTATCATGGTAGGCTACACTCCAGTCCATCTCATCAACTTTGTCTTGGACCCACTCACATGCTCCCTGGTCAAAGTTGCAATCCATGATAAATTCTACAAGGTAAAAAGACAGGAGCACAACAGCAAATTAATCATGCACACAGTCATTACAAAACAATGGCTCATAAACACAATTTCATTACCTTCCTGAACTTGTGCTATTTGGATTTCCTTGACTTCTGTGGCTGGGCCGAAAACGGATTCAAAGTCCTCTGATACTGTGATTAGAAGAAAATCAGTGTGAATAAATTAATTTAAGCAAAAAGATTGCCAATCAAACATGACAGTTAATGAAAAAAGGTAGGCACAGCTGCACCAGGATAACACTTCACACTTTTTGTCCATGAATTCCTGACAAAATATGTGATCTTAAAAAAAACCCCATCCATAATTATGCAGCAAAGAGATTTTCCCCAATGAAACAAAAGCCTGAAAGGGGCTTTTAACCAACAGGTGTGGACGTGCCCTGCTGTCACTCATGTCTCAAGATGGAACTACAACTTAAGGATACAGCCTCCCCCCCAAGCCTTTTAAAGCTCTTTCAGTGAACCAGCCCCATGGCAAGCAGCCTTTGACGAGTGACAGCTGGGGTTATTTAACCTGCTCACCCAGGGTGAGCTAGTGATAGAGAGGTCGCGAATGCTGATGACAGACTCTCCAACTAACAGTCAAGTGTGTTTGCACAACAGCTGTTTTGGGGAGAACATAATAAAAGGCTCGGGGGCTTCGTAACCTCCCTCCCTTCCTCCTCCTCCTCCCAGGAGATGGGAAGCAGGCCCTGGATGACTTGTATCCCTGGGCTCTCACATACCGACAGAGTAACATTCCTCCCTGGAGGTGATGGATGTCTTGGGGCCTGTCTCCTCTTGCTGGTTCCTAAACACACTCTGTGTTTTCCATAAAGATCCAGAGTGATGGTAACTACATTTATGGGGTGTTTCAGTGCATACCACTGAATAGTCACACTGCCCACTCTACACTTTTTATCTGATGAAAGTGTGTGAATCTCTAACCAGAACGAGCAAACACGCAAAGGTGAAAATGCCATGTGTTGGGACCATCAATTCTATTTTATATTACAGGGTTCTTTTAGTCTTTGCATTTTTTCTTTTGATTTAACCAAAGATTCCATGTAAAGAAAGATCGACCCTACCAGAGTGGGTATAAACTGATATATCCTGGCTTTATGTCCATGCCACCAAAACTGGAAATGTGCAATGTTGTAAGTAAGCTTTCCAAGAAGAGATCTACTATATAGATCTACTATTTTATTCTTATCTCAGCTGCCTACTGGAAAGATGATTATTGTGATCAGATGCTGACACAAGAACAAAGTCTCTATAGAAACACTCTTTGTTTTTGTCCATAATGCATTGCAGACCAGCCAGAATACTAGAAAAAGAATTATTATAGCAAGGCAGCCACTCTTAACTGAAAACATCTCCTCTTGGATTGAGCTGGTTGTCTTCGTCTTCCTCCTCATCCTCCTCGTCTTCCTCCTGCTCTTCATCAGGAAATTCTTCCTGTCGTCTCCCCTCTGTCTGGCTGCCAATGTAGACCTCTCCATCATAGTCGAATGGCTGCTGGCGGATCTTAGGGGGTGACGTTGCGACTGGTTCAGGGATAATGTTTTTGATTTCCTCGTCCAGGTTACCTCCCAAAGTCCCGGGCCTCTTTTGGGAGTCTGGGATGGCTGCAGGCAGGATGAGGAAGCATATTAGACAGGTGGAACTGCAATCACGAGTGGGAAATACAGTATTTTATGCTTCAGGTGCATATGTTGTTTATTGTCATGTATTTTGCAGCTGCTGGTCTTGATAATATCTTCCTTGCAGTTACTTACCAGTTTATTTGTGAAATACATTGCATTTCCACTGCAGATAGCAAACTATAGAACATGCTAAAACAATAGATGGGAACATCCTTTTCCATGCAGATGCATGACTGACATTCGTTGTTCGTAACTTAAATTTAAACACACAAGCATTTAGTCACATACAGTGCATTCAGACAGTGTCAGACCCCTTCGCCTTTACTCACTCTATTATGTTGGTTCCTTATGGTTAAAAT